TAGTGTTTTAGGTTAATTATACATGTTCGTTGATGAAGTTATTTGAAATTGGTGGATTTATGTGAAATTTTGAGAAATTTAGTGTGTTATGAAGTTATGAAGCCGGTGATGTTGACAGGTTGTGTAGGGCTATGTCGTTAACTTTTGTTTGTTGAAGTTGTAGTGTTGAGTTGTGATTGATTTTTGTTGATGAATGTTGATTAATCTTACGAACTAAGTTGATATTGCTTAAGTCATGATAAGGTGTTCACAGTAGATGTATAACTATGAAAACTTGTTGGCAGGTTGTTGTGAGGGTATATATTATTGAATTTGGTTGTGTTAAGGGTATATCTTGTTGAATTTGGTTGTTGTAAACATGAAAATTCCTGACGACGAAGGAGACAAGAACACGTGTACAAAAAAATATTTTGTATTGATTTTGGGGTTACAATCTCTTCTACAAATTTAGCCTTTGATTATATCTTCGTAAAATGTAGATATGTGGATGGGTTGTTGATCCAAAGGGTCGTCAGGGCTTGATCTTAGGATGAACGGTTAATGAACAGATCTTCAAGGGCTTTTAGGCTTGATCTTGAAGAATGGGTGTGTGGATTTGTTGATGTTGTTGATCCAAAGGGCCGTTGAGGCTTGATCTTAGGATGAACAGTTATGCGGATTTATTGATGTTGTTGATCCAAAAGGGTGTCGGGGCTTGATGTTAGGATGAACGGTTGATGAACGGATCTTCAAGGGCTTTTTGGCTTGATCTTGAAGAACAGGTGTGTGGATTTGTTGATGTTTTTGATCCAAAGGGCCGCTGGGGCTTGATCTTAGGATGAACGGATGATGAACGATGAACACTTTCTTCAAGGGCTATCGGGGCTTGATCTTGAAGGAGGATTTGACGAAGAACGAAGAGGACTTTCTTGATCCTTTGGGATTTGCTTGAGAGCTTTAGAGTTTCAAAGCTTCAAGGTTTTGGTGTGATGTGAATTGGTCTTTTCTTTCCTTATCCTTTGATGGAGAAGCCTATTTATAGGCCTTGAGAATGAATCACCACCATCCATTTTTTTTTGGTGAAGTGAGTGAATGTTGTAGGTGAAATGAGTGGAGTTTTGTAGGTGAAATGAGTGTGTTTTGTAGTGAATGATGTAGGTGAAATGAATAAAGGTTGTAATTTTAATGCATTGGTCAACATTTATTTCACTGAAATTTCGATGTCTACAGTTGTGTTGAATGTTTGTATTGTTATGTCTACAAGATATAGCAACTCATGGCATTCAATTAGCAACCAAAGGTAAGAAGATTCTTATAAGGGAAGGGTTTAACAATCTATCCTAAGCCCTGTTGGAAATGTGCCCTAAAACCAATCATATGATGATACTTTACGGACATTTCAAACTAATGTAGTTTAAATGTAAAGGGCAAAGATTATTGTTTGAGCCGTCTCATATAAATGTTATATGCTTAAACGATAAGTCCAAGGAATATGTGATTGGAAGAATGCGATCTAAAGAAGTTAGATTCATGAGACCATTCTTTCGTTGACACATCCTAAACGTTCCTGATCATAGGATTGTCAATTGGGCATTGACAGTCCGTTAAGATCAGTACGTGCTATGTCTTCTCTCAGGGAGAGTGACTAGTCTCGAGTCATTGGTGTGTGTGACATCAAGACAAGTACGTAGGTGCTCAATAGAGAATGAGTTCACTGAACACGATCAACGAAGAGTTCTCATATTCATGTCACATGAGAACTCATGGTTGGGATAATGCAAATTAGTCTTTTGACCTGAGGCATCACAGTTGTCTTGTGGTTAGGTCCTTAATCTTTGATTATGTCAAAGTCACTCCATCAGGAGGGTGTCTACGGCATCGTTGGGGTTAAGCCACTTAGCCATGGAGGCAAGTGAATGCGCAACAAGGGATCTCTAACCTTCAAACTGTTTGAGGGAGAATACTCTATGATATGATTAAGAATCTTTGGCCAAAGTATGAATGAGATTTAGGAATGTGTTCCAAATCACATTCAAGGTAATCATATAAGCACAAGACTCACATTGGATAGTAGACATGAATAAACTATCAAACCAAACAATATGGTCAAGAGTATTGTATTAGAGAAAGACCGTATTGCATTTGTAATCCTAAAACTGAATAGGTTCTCCACCTCTTCTGATTAGCTTGGGTAACCATGACATGCTGCTAGGCGTCAACCATGGTTTGTGGAAGCCCTAAAAGTGTATTATCACTAACGGGAGAATTAAAAGTAAGTTTCAATTCACAATCGATTTGAAAGAGTTTGAATCGCCCACTGCCTCGCTAAAAGGAACCTAATGGATCGTACACCGTGTAAGGTAGAGATTGAAGATTCAACGGAGATGAGTAAGAATAATTAAATGGTTTAATTATTTATGGCAAGGATTAATTAATATGATTATTAATCAAACGAATAAGTTCGTTGAAGACCACGGGATAGTTTTGGACCTTAAGGCCCAATGGGCTTCGAACGTCAAGTCCATTGACTTAAGTTGTGTGACAACTTAATGAATAATGATTCACAAAGGCCCAAATAGCCCAATGAATACCCTAAGGCCGGCCATGTTAGAGAAGGAGTGGTTTTGGACTTATTTACAAGTTTGCCACTCAAATGAATTAAGGAATAAGTATGACTTAATAGCCAAAATTCATTAAGGGGTTTTCTTAGGAGTAAAGATGAGAACACAAACCTCCCTTTGCTCTCAAAGAGGCCGGCCACCCTTGAGGAAAAAGCCCCCCATGTGCTTAGATTGATATGTGAGAAGTTTAGAGTGACACAAGTTGCTGCCTTAAGGGCATCTTTCTTTGGCCACATGGAGCATGTGGATGAATTGGCCTTCAATGGCTAATTGGCCCATCACTTCGTGGAGTAGCAAATCAAGGGGTTAAAGACCTTGAAAGATTGACGAATTTAATAGGTTGTGAATTGACCAAATTGACAAAGCAAGACTTCTGCCGCATTACCTGGATTTGATGTGGAAAACCCCATGATGTATAGGTTAAGCCGAAGGGATTAGGCTTGTGAAGGAGCATATTTCAGAGAAATTAGGGTTTGTAGGAGAAAGTAATAAGGGGATGAGAGAGAAGGGCAAAGGTAAAGCCAAGGCTGCACCTAAGAAAGTCAACAAAAAGATATATGTGACTTTCAAAGAGCTTAAAAGAGCCCTAAAAAAGTGCAAGAATGAGGAGGATACGTTGAGGCTGGGTCTAATATATTTTGCCAAGGCTGTGCTAATATTGATTATCCGTAACCTCAGAATTAGGCTGCTCAGTCATACTGAAAAATATCAGAATTAGACAGACACTCACCATGATGATAGGTAAAACAATAGTACAAATAGGTATAGGATCCTTTCAAAAATAAACACTGGAGATCCACTCCCAGAGAATCGTCCACTGCCAATGTAACCCTTACTGGCCCAAGGTGTAGTGGTGTTAGATTCATCACTAGTAGTAGAGCCTAAAGGCTGACCCTATTCTTAAAAGCCGTTTTGTTTTTTATTCCACCAATAAACAATGCTTCTTTGATATTCTTGGCTTTAAACTTGTTGTTGAAGCCACTGAGCTGTTCTCCACTAGAGCTCGCTTGCTTGCCTTTCGTTGCCTGTTTCTCTTTCCTCTTGTTATTAACCTGCTCAACCTGCTGAGCTGTATGAAAAGTTGTCTCATGGGTGACCCCATCATTCATTATTGTATTAGTGCACAACTTCGGATTAAGACCTGCGATAAATTGCTTCCTCATTTCTTCTTCAATATCATGAATACCAGGACAATACTCCACTAGCCTTCCTCTTGCTCGAGTGGTAGAAACTTTTGCCTCTTGATATCTGAAATTATGGACGTAGAAAATTATTCTTGAATCTCTCCTTGAATATTTCCTAGATAAAATCTTGGAACCTTCCCCACCATGAAGAATGTAGCTATGCTCACCTTTGTAGAATTTTATTTTTTTAACAAATTTCATTTTCTTAGAAGGAAAAACTCTCCTCACAGGAGTACATTTCTTGCACCCCCACTCAGGATGGTAGGGATGAGGGAGGGAGGAATGGTTTGATATTCCTACCACTTTTACTCTTTGTTCAGCTAACGTGGGACTTCTACACCACTTAGCTAGCCTCTAAACTAAAATGCCAACTCCTCCAGAGTGGCCACTCTTCAAAAACTATCCCACTCATCTTTTTTTAGTGGGTATGATGATTGACCCTTGCAGTTGAGCCTTGTACCATTTGTTCCTTTCTACATACCATTACACTTCTTTTCCGCTAGCCCAGTCCGATTGCCTCCATCTCTGAGTGCTTGGTTCCACATCGCGGTTAAGGCAAAACTCTTTTTCCCGCTGTATTCCTTGAAAACGCATCCCTCCTGTTCGAGTATTATCCTGTGTAGTTAGACATTGCATCAAATTCGTAAGTTGATATATGACATTAAAATATTCAAAAAATTGAGATATGAGTATGTTATGTGACCCAAAATTGAGGTGGTAAAAAAGTAATTTAACCCCTTTTTTTTTTTTTTTTGACATTTTATGCATTTAATTTTCTCTAGACACTTACTTTTCATTTTCTTTGAACACCTATTTTTCTTATATTAATTATGAATGCTTTCTATTTAATTGGTAATTAATTTTCGTTGATGGCGTAAATTCTTTGCTCTACAACTAAATGTATGGTTCTTTTATTTTATGAAGCAAATTTAGCACTATAGCCAGATGCAAGAGAGGAATAGTCGGGAAGTTTTGATAAGATAAATTGAAATACAACAGTTACATACTTTGCCCGTCACTTGGTTGCCACATTATTTATTTCAAAACACTAATAGGTGTCATAAATCTAATTTTGAAGAGATAATAATGTTTTTAACTTTACCTAAGTGGGTCGTTTAGGAAACACTCTCCATTCCAGCCGTGTGCCGTTTGTATAAAATGAAGAGAGAAAAACAGTAGAGAGGCATATTATCTTGGTTGAGCAGCAAGAGCTTGGCTCTAGGACTTACTGATGGCGGCAATTTCGCCCTCGTCCTTTGTCTCTGTATCCTCCTCCACCACCTCCTGTTCGTTTTCATGTCCGTTTGTGAGTTGCTTGAAGCGCGCTTACGATGGCGTGTCGATGAGTAATCACCGCTCACATGGGCGGTTGGCGGCGGTTAGCTGCTCATCTTCTGAAATGGGCTCCGGTTCCGACTCCGTGAACCGCCGCAGGTATAGCCACTACACGAACATGACTTTCCTTGTGTTTGTACTTTAAATTGTAATGGGTAGCCGCTTAATTTCAGTTTTGTTGTCAGAATCACGGGTAATTACGTGTTTATTGAAATTGAATTAAGTGTTTTCTGAAGCCCTTGAATATATGTTATCAACTGACTGTAGTTATAAGTTACTTGTTATTCCTGGTAGTAAACTAGTAACTGGTAGGGTTTATTAATCAAAAAGCAAGTGTGGATGAAAATTGACCATAGAACACACTTGCATTAAGGAGGATTTGCCGGTGTTGTATTTCAATACTTAAGTCAGTCGGCGGCATGTAGAAGTATATTTTGGGAATGTCAATTTACAGACTACATTCGGATTGCGGTAGACAAGATGCAGATATTTCAGTTACAGCAGGTGGTTCGGTTCCTTAATTGATTAGTATGGCTCCTCAGTTACACTTGATTTTGTTGTGAAATATCCATTCTTGTAGGATATATAATAAGCAGTCTGTTATTCAACCCTCGATCTTTCACCCCTTTTTCGCTTTTTCATAGCTTCTTGTACTCAGGGATAAAAATTAAGGGGTGTGAGAAAGTTGTCTTCGTTGTTTGTCAAATTGTGTGAGAAAATGGAAATGCTTCTTTTTTCCCTTGTATTAGTGTTGTACTGATAGTTTGAATTCCATAGCTCTAGTATCTAACTTTTTAACTTCATATCTTTTCGACAGTCATACTCAAATGTCATCTATGGCTCCCTTTGGGGTGACAATGAGTGGGAATGGCTCGTCTGGACCATCTTATAAATGGCGAAGGGTTTTGCTTAAAGTAAGCGGAGAAGCACTTGCCGGGGATCATACACAGAATATTGACCCAAAGGTCTCATAAATTCTTAAATCATCCTGTGATAGTTATCCTTCTCATTGGTTTCTGAAACTTGAACGTTTGCCCCTCAATAATATTAGGTAACAATGGAAATTGCAAGGGAGGTTGCATCTGTGACTCGCCTTGGCATTGAGGTAATGCTTAACACTTGACATTAAAGAACTGTACTTTACATGACCTTTTCCTTTTTTGTACATGAAGGCAAGGGCATGCGCGCACACACACACACAAAACATTGTATTCTTCTCATGATATTATATACCTCTGATCATTACTGTAACCCGTTTATAAAGTTAAAAATAGTGAAATTGGGTATTCAAGAATTATTTATGTAGGGGTTAACATGCATGCAGCCTGGGTAATGCTCCATGATAAGAATGGGACTATAGGTTTTTTTTATTATTTAATTATCCAGTAATGCTTTATGGCACGGAATGTTGGGTGGTTAAGCATCAACATGTGCAAAAAAATGTGTGTAATGGAGATGAGAATGCTTTGTTGGATGGGAGGGTACACGACAGAGGACAAGATTAAGAACAAGGATATCCGAGGTAAAGTAAGAATAGCCGCAATTGAAGATAAGATGAGAGAAAATTGGATAAGGTGAGTTGGACATGTGAATCAAAGACTTACAAATGCTCCAGTTAGAAGATGTGATTATGAGACGAAGGCTCAGGGTAAAAGGGGTAGCAGGATGCGGCTTTGTTGTCGTGTTGTAAATATCCAGCATGATGTAAGGATAGCAGAAATAGGAATAGTTTGAATGTTTAATAATCTCCATAAAGTGCTTCAGATTTTACTAATGAGATTTTTTTTACTTCTGAAATCCAAAAGTGCTCAACATAGTTTATTGTGTTAGTAATCTTAGTTAAGTATTTCAGGTTGCAATTGTGGTTGGTGGGGGAAATATCTTCCGTGGATCTTCTTGGGTGGGAAGCAGCGGTCTTGACCAATCATCTGCTGATTACATCGGGTAAAATCCTTTTATTGGGATTGACTGAATGTTGTTTGATGTCACCTGTGTAGACCTTTTTCTAGTTGTATTTTTACATAATTCCTCTCATTGGGTGATTACTTTATTCTGGATCTGGTTCATTTCACGTCTCATAAATTCGTTTTCCTCTTGTATATTATCACATGAGGTGGACCTTGGACTTGGGAAATTTTGTGTTCCGGTAGTTGGTTTTTCAATGTAACTTGATATGTGATATGAGAAACATAAAATTAAGATGAAGTTCTAGATGCAACATAATGTCGGCGAAGTTATGGACCTTGGTGCTTTTCTGTCCAAATGCAATATACTTGATGGTAACCAGTACTTTTGTTTTGTAATACTGAAGAAGATACCGAAATAGGAATTCTTGTTCTCCATCATTTACCAATACCTGTAGGCGTGTACAAAAATGTGGGCGATATTGCATTTAGCACATCATGTGGATCCTCGCTCTTTTACCTTTAGTTTTCCAATATTAAACATTTCCAACTGTAAAATGTTGGATTAAAGGAAAAGTGTTGTGGCATGAGGTTCAAATGGGAAAGCTGAGGAATCTGCCCTTACGTAACTGTCGCATGCATATACTTAGGGAAATGAAAATTGAGGTTTTGGAGGAAGTATTATACTTTACGACTCAAATTTTTACTTTACAAGTATGTAGCTTTTTGCTATGTTATTTGATATGTACTTTTTATTCAATTTTTCAGGATGCTGGCAACTGTCATGAACTCAATATTTCTTCAAGCAACAATGGAAAGTATCGGCATCCCTACTCGAGTGCAGACTGCTTTTCGCATGTCTGAGGTTGCAGAGCCTTATATACGTCGAAGAGCTGTAAGGCATTTGGAAAAGGGGAGGGTGGTCATCTTTGCAGCTGGAACTGGAAATCCGTTCTTCACCACAGATACTGCTGCAGCACTTCGTGGTGCAGAAAGTAAGTAGTATCTACCTTTGCTTATAGAGACTACATGATATCTTTATGAGAGGTCTTGGTATGGTTCAGAATCGGTAATTTAGGATATTCCAAAATTTTTAGTATTCTGCCAAAGGCGCTGATTAAATATCAAGTCTTCTCGTATTAATCTTCACTGTGGCACCCTTATAGTCCTAAATTTACTTAAATTGCAACTTGTCGATGGTGGAAAATGTCAATGATTGGTCGAGTCAGTGCAGAGGTTATGCTAAAAGCGTCGAATGTTTGTGGGGGTTATGAATTTTTTCTTTTGCTTCAAACTTATCATTTTACTTTCAATTGTGGATGTAGTCAATGCAGAGGTTGTGCTGAAAGCAACAAATGTTGACGGGGTTTACGACAACGATCCAAGGTGCGACCCGAATGCCCGTCTTCTTGAGAATCTAACATATCAAGAGGTGATGGCAAAAGATCTTTCAGTAATGGACATGACTGCCATTACCTTATGCCAGACAAACAAAATTCCTGGTATTTTAGACAAGTGCCATTTAGATTGATATTGGCATGTATATATTGCAGCCACACAACTAAGTTGAACATGCTGTTATTGTTTCTTTCCCTTTTGCAGTTGTTGTGTTCAATTTAAACAAGCCCGGTAACATCTCAAAAGCGATAAAGGGGGAGAAGGTTGGCACGTTAATTTGTAATGCGGATGGTTTACCGCTGAAGCTGTAGCGTCACAATACAAGTTCAAAATGATTCGAGAGTGAGCAGCATGGGAAGTACAGTATGACTTCAGAGGATACAATGTTTTGCCAGCATTCGGCAACTTTTTCTTTATTTGGTGAACGATCTTCAGCATTTAAGTGTAAATAAATTTTGAACGTTGAAACTTCCATTTGGTCTCAATTGTTTTGAGGTTTTGAGAATTGTTAATAGATTCAGATTTCGAACAATTAGGGCTCGTTTGAAAGTGTTTTCAAAATGACCGAAAGTATTTTTGGTGAGTGCTTTTCAGTTATTTTAAAAGTACTTCCAAACGAGCAGAGTCTCTAATGATCTAATCATAAGTCAATGTAGGCATATATCTGCCGTTATTATATTATTACGCTTTCTGATGTCCTCTCATCTGGTTGTACAAATTCACAAGTTTCTGCTGACAAAAGGGGACGACGTTGCATGAAACTCACAACAAATGTCCGTACATACGTTTCTATGTATATGTATACATTCGTACATAGCCTTCCCAATTTTCCGTTAATGCTATACTAGTATTTTAAGTCCATTAGCGATATTTTAGATTTCATATTTTTACCAGCGATATTCAACATTTAATTCTACAATAGTCAAGTACTAATTCTACACTGCTACTTAATATTACGGTCGAGTGATATTCCTCTTCACTTGTAAATAAGAAGTTTTAAGTTTGATCGAACTCAAATCAAATTAATATAGCTAACATATTGTCAGTTTAGCCTCTTTTTTTTTCACCTTTTAGTATAAATAATATCGAATGTATTGAAAAAACCACAAACTCTTCAATAATGGGAGGGGGGAATCACGAGGGAAATCCACTATTTATAGTGATAGTTTTACAGAAACTAAGCAAAGTTGAAACTGAATTCTATAACGGAACACATTCGTTCTAGTCAATGTAGCTAATCCATGTCGGAAATGAACAATTATCATAGCAGTTAATTAGTAAAACTCCTAAATTACAAAATGATTACAAAGACTCAGGCTCAGGGTAACAAATTAATAACCATGGCTAAAATGTAAAAGGCAAAAGGTAAATGCTAAGAAACATAGAAGGCAATACACCAAAAAGAAAGAAAAATCTAACCGGGGACTGGGCAGCAAATGTTGAATTGTTAAAAGTTGTGCAAGAAATTGTTAAAGAGGTCCCATGAGCAAGGACTGGGAGAAATAATAGCCGAAGACGGACCAGGGCTAAAAGTCATCCCCATCCAATTGTTCAACATTGGGCTGCTTATGACGTCATACTGATGATGCTGTGAGAAGAACTCACTTGTGACCGCCGGCAGAGACGCTGGCGGCGGAGACAATATTCCCGGAAACTGACCCATTTCATCAAGTTGTACTGACCCTCCGCTGCCGCCGCCGCCTCCTTGATCTTCAGGAATATTGAAAATACTTGCCATGAAGTCGTCATCAGTGCTAGTACTGATACTAGTGGTGGTGGTCACGGGCTTGTTGTGGCCCGAGGTTGAATTAGGGCTTGTTTTGTGTACGGAGGCGAGTCTTGCAGCCGGCGAGAGGCCGTCGGGGGAGGAGGAGGGCGAAGGGGTGGAAGGGCCGGTTAGGCGTTGGATCAAGGACATGAACTCGTTTTCAGTGGTGTGGATGACCTTGGGAGACACTGAGTAGATCACTACCGGCTGTGGAGGTGGAGGTGGAGGTCGATGCTGGGTGGATGCTGGATGCGGGTGTGGGTGCGGCGGTGGCTTCTTGATCTTGACGGAGTCTTTGTTGACTTTGAGAGGGGAAGGGCGTGGACCTTGGAGTTGTACCTCCTTTTTGGGTGCTGGAGGAGGCCTTGCTGGGTTCATATTCTCTCTCTCTCTCTCTCTCTCTCTCTCTCAAATTCTGTGGAAGTACGAATTTTGCAGAGAGAGAGAGCAAGTGGCAGTGGTGGTGGATTGGGGTTGGGGCTGAATAATCAACGAAAACTAATTTCCAGGAAGGAAGACAATTCTTTTGTTTTATGTTTTTCCACGACGCGCACTGTTGATTAGGGTGTTTTTTTTTTTTCTATAGAAAACGATATCTCCAAATCCCCTTCTCCTAAGCAATTAAATGCAACGATCGGGTTATTAAAATTTAATCAAACGGTTAAACTTATTATAATTTTTAAAGTAGGTTCTGTTTGTAGCCGTTGAATCAAATTTCAATGGTTCAGATCCCTGAACTTGATGGATTAGGAGGAAAGAATTTGAAAATAATCTTTTTTCTTTTTCTTTAGTGGTGGAAATACTTATCTATTTACATAGTTCTATTAAATGAGTTTAATTTTAAAATTTATAAATTTATTATACAAATTTTGAAATTTAAATTCACAAAACGATAATAAATTTAAATTATTATTTTTTATTCTATAAACACAAATCAAATTGACACACCCCGACCGAGATAGGGGCGTGCTGGCCGTCACACAAAGGCGACGTAGCCATGTGCACGTGCGGAAGCTAATGGAGTAGTAAAATAAAAGTACGAATAATTAAAAAACTGGAATACTAGTACTAGAATAAGTGCTAGTTAGTGCGATACAAATTCAGAGCAGGTCTACAGCAGTCCAAATAAAACAACAACAGTAGTACGCCCGAAGGCGACCCTACAATGTGGAGTGTCCGTCAGAACGCCGAAAAGCTCGCAAGGGAAACCACCGCAACGGCTAAGCAACTAGAACCTGGAGGGGCGCAAAACAAAAGCGTGAGTGGGCAAAAACAAAGCTTTTCAAACACCATTTCAAAATAAGTTCTAACCCCTCGCCGTAAAACCTGTATACTTCCCAGAAAAATAAACATATGCACGTATATATAGATAGGCCAATCATGCTCCATAATATGCCAATCTTAAAGCTTCATAATGATATGCAAGTGCTCAGGCATAAATCACATCAATCACGTATCACTGGCAGCCGGAGTCCCCTAAGTGACCTGTACGGCTAAATCTAGAGCCCAAATCTCAATCTCAATCACTAAACCTACCCACGAGTCGGAACCACCTATAGTGGTCTGTACGACAGGCCTGGGTGTAATACATATAAACGCTCTAGTGCTACGATCACGTGAAGGCTGTGCGAATAATCGCGGGTCACCTACGAGTCGGAACCACCTACTGTGGTCTGTACGACAGGCCTATGCACCTAACTTGGATCCAAGCTGAGCGTATGGTGCGGGAGGTGAACAACACGTGAAGGACTGTGCCCTACTCTGGGCGGGAGCACTAACACCGGGGGTGCAGGTTATGAGCTCTCTAAGCATCTCGAATCACTACTGAATGTAAACATGAATAACACTTACCTGGCACTTACCTGTGCGTCCGCAACACCCAATATGCACATGTATATATATACGACTAATAATGCAACTAACGATGCATAAATAACGATAATCTAATGCATGGCATATGGCAAATGACAATTCAAATCAAATTCTGGGAAAATATAAGTATATAGGTATATACGGAAAACCAAAAGCCCACTCACTGGTATGTAGAAGGGTCGTAGCCCCCCTGTCTCGCCTGTGCACGCTCGTCCTCTGGGTACGTGTCACCTAGATGCGAAACAACTATAAAAACGTTAACTTTAAAGCACATAACCCGTTTCTCGTAATAACTTCTCATACATTGCTCAAAATGGACACATGAATATACCAACGTGATCTACACAACCTCACGATCACAACCATATTTTTAAAATAATTTTTGGACACCTCACGCGCCCCCACGCGCCAGCACAGGCACGGGTCCACGCGCCCCCACGCGCGGCCACGTGACCTGCACACTGACGGCGTCAGGTGACGCCGTCAGGAATATTCCCTGGAATATTCCGTTAACCTTGACTGACGCCGTTAGCTTCTGTTAGGAATATTCCGTTAGCCTTAACGGAATATTCCCCTGTCTTCTCCGGCGAGCCGCCGCCGTCTGCGCCGCCGCCGTCGCCGGAAAACTGGAAATTTTTCAAACTTTGTTTTCTCACTCGTTTTTCAACCATTTTTCACGTTCTTTATACCAAAATGAAGCTTAGGACTAGTAGAATCACGTTAGACTACTCTTAAGGCCTAAAAATCAAAGAATCTCACCTGCAACAACGATCCAAGTTCGGCCAACTTTGAAACTAAGCTTTCCCGACGTCCAAATCCACCCAACGAAGTATTCCCAAGCTCCTTGAGGTCTCCCTAACACAACTACAAGCTTAAAAAGTCCAAAAACACAATGTATAAAACTTGCATGAACAGTACTCAATTCGGCCATTGTTGAATCGACGTGAAAACGAAATATTCCTCACCTGAAAATGGTATGGTTGAGCTCGCCTCGACCTTACGAGTTGAATAGTGTCTTTGGTTTCCTCGATCTACTAAGATTTGGGTGCCTTTGTGTGTTGTCCGTACTGTTTCTAAGGAGAAGGGAGGAAGAGAGCACGGGAGAGACAGAGAGAAGACAGAAGGAGAGAGAGAGGGACAGTGTCTGTCTGTGGGAGTGTGTGTGTGGTCCAACACATGCCACCCCACACCAAAACAACCCACAACGTGACAAAAAAAACGACTAAGGGCAAAAAGGTAAATTCACACGTGCGTTTAATAATCCCGGGACGGGATGTCACAACCTTCCCACCTTAAAAGAATTTCGTCCCGAAATTCAAAACAACCAAACAGCAGCCCCTACTGGCCAAAGAACAAACGAGGGTACAAATCCCTCATTCGATCTTCTGTCTCCCACGTAGCTTCCTCAACGGAATGGTTCCTCCACAAAACCTTCACTAATTTCACTGTCTTGTTCCGCAGAACCTTCTCCTTCCAATCGATGATCGTCACCGGTTCCTCGTCATACGTCAAGTCTGGGTTAATTTCTAACGGTTGAGGAGGTATCACATGGGATGGATCAGCAACATAATGTCGGAGCATAGACACGTGGAAAACGTTATGCACTCTGGCTAGCTCTGGAGGTAACTCCAACCTGTAAGCTACCTCACCAACTCGCTCCACGACCATGTATGGTCCGATGTACCGTGGACTTAATTTGCCTTTCTTCCCAAATCTCACTACACCTCTCCACGGCGAAAGCTTCAAAAATACCCAATCTCCGACTTCGTACACCCTGTCTGTAGCATGCCGATCCGCTAAACTCTTTTGTCTGTCCTGTGCCGCTTTCAAATTAGTCTTGATTACCTGGACATTCTGGGTAGTCTCCTCAACAATCTCCGGACCTACTAAGACCCTTTCTCCGACTTCTGACCAACACAACGGTGTGCGACAAGCTCTACCATACAAGGCCTCAAATGGTGCCATGCCAATACTTGAATGAAAACTATTATTATAGGCAAATTCCATCAAATCTAACCGCTGGTGCCAAGCGTCACCAAACTGCAACACCGAAGCTCGCAGCATATCCTCTAAGGTCTGAATAGTTCTCTCTGACTGCCCGTCGGTCTGTGGATGATATGCCGTACTATAAAGTAATCTCGTGCCTAAGGCTTCCTGGAAAGCTACCCAAAACTTCGATGTGAATCGTGGATCACGATCCGAGACAATACTCACTGGGACACCGTGGTACTTCACAACCTTCGAAATGAACAACTCCGCTAAACGGCTCAGAGAATACTTCTCTCTCACTGGAATAAAATGAGCCGACTTAGTGAGTCGATCAACGATCACCCAAATGCCGTCAAAGCCATTATGTGTACGCGGCAACTTGTACACAAAATCCATGGTGATATTTTCCCATTTCCACTCGGGAACTGGAAGCGGCTGCAACAACCCAAACGGCTTCTTCCTTTCTGCTTTAACTTGCTGACAAACAGCACAACTGCTCACATACTCGGCTATCTCCCTCTTCATACCCGGCCAATAATAAAATGGTCGAATGGTATGATACATTTTCGTAGCTCCTGGATGCATGGCGTAAGCCGAGATATGTGCTTCATCGAGAATTTCTTTCTTCAACTCCACGCTCTTAGGCACGAACATTCTACCATCTAGCATCAACATGCCATCCGAAACTCGAACTCTGAGGTCTCGCCTCCTTCCTTGTTCTCGAGCTTGAATTAGTTCTTGAGTCTCTTGATCAGCTACCTGAACTTCAAGTACCCGATCAATAAGAATTGGCCTAACTTGGAAATTAGCAAGTAACGCCACTTCTCGATCTTCAGCTTCTAACCTCACTCCCGTGGCACGTAAGTCAGCCAAAAGGGAGACACGACTAGCGTACAACGCATTCATGCGGCCCTGTGACTTCCTACTAAGCGCATCAGCCACTACGTTCGCACGACCAGGATGATAATCAATCGTGCAATCGTAATCGCTGAGCAACTCCAACCACCTCCGCTGACGAAGATTAAGTTCCTTCTGAGTAAAGAGATACTGGAGACTCTTGTGATCTGTAAAGATCCTGCACTTTTCTCCGTAAAGATAGTGTCTCCACAACTTCAACGCAAAAATGATAGCAGCCAACTCCAAATCATGTGTAGGGTAATTCATCTCATGAGGTTTCAACTGCCGCGAAGCATAAGCAATCACCCTACCCTGCTGCATCAACACACATCCCAAACCATTCAAGGAAGCATCGCTATAAACCTCGAAATCACCGCTCTCGTCTGGGAGTGCCAAAACAGGTGCATGAGTGAGACAATGCTTCAACTGTTGGAAACTCTGTTCACACCTATCATCCCACTCAAATTTAACATCCTTCCTTGTTAACCTTGTCAGTGGTAAGGCAATCACCGAAAAATCCTTAACGAATCTCCGATAATACCCCGCCAATCCAAGGAAACTTCTCACCTCGGTGACGGTTCGCGGTTGCTCCCAACTCTCTACCGCTGCAACTTTCTGAG